GACTTATTGAATTTGAATACAACCATGATTTTGCTACACTGGAACTAAATTCACGCCATGTGTTAGAGAATGTCTTTGAGCACTTTTAGCGATTCCTAATTAAGAGTTCCGCCCAACGATAAGAATTTGAAACTACTTGCAGGGGTGAAGCTACATTTGTGTCACATTTCGTCGAAATTGTATTGTACATACATATAAAATGATAATCAAAGTGTTTGAATAACATATTATGAAAACTCTTGATACAACAATATGGAGCAGCCTAGCGATTTCAGGCACCTTGGAAGAATGAAGATATGCGGACTTTGAAATATTCGACTTCTTGCAGTATCTGAACATTAATCATGAAATTTCGTGCTCTATCCCTAACAACTCGCTATACTATGTGGCAAATCATAAGTGTGTTTAACTTGAGCTAGTAACCTCTTAATATTTTTAAAGAAAAAAATCCTTTGGGCCAGAATTTGATTAAAATGATATTTTAATTATATTGTTTTATCTTTTCAATATAATTAAAAAAAATATTAGTTTATTTTAAAATGAAAAAATATTATAATTTTAAATATTTCTGGTCATTTAGCATTACGATTTGTTGAATAACTTTCACATAAAGAAAACATAAAAATCATATTCATATACTGTAACTATAGTTTGTATAATTACGCTTCATAGCAAATATAAATATATATATTTCGCTACACATATACCAAAAAATAGATGTATAATTCGTTATATATACAAAGAAAACAGTTGTATACAAAAGATCAATTGTATAATCTATATGTGTATAAAACGAGAAAGAGAGAAATACAAAAGAAAACTGGGCATGTGAATATTTGTATTGTATAATTATAAGTGTATAGGACAAAAATATATTTTTTTGCATGTGTATATACAATTTTATCTCATTTAATACAAATAGAAACACAATTTATACATTTCTTTTCTGTTTGTATAAGCTAGAAAGACGAGAGTGACAAGCAACATCTGAAAGAGGAAGAGATAGGGGAACGAAAATATATTTATAAATATAATTTCTTATTACTTAATCACAAACACATATTATACATTTGTGTTTGTATAAAAGCGAGAGAGGCGAGCGAAACTGCGAACAAACGAGAGTGGCGTGCGACTTTCCACTAGAGAGAGAGGCGAAAATAACTATAGTATACTGTAGAGTACAATTTAATTAAATTATATTTATAATATTTTAATTTAAATTAATAATTTACTATAATATATATTTTTCTTTATTATAAATAATTTATAAGCCAAACTTAAAACTAATAATTAACGTCAGATCAGAAGGCGTTATTAATACTTCTCTTTTTTTAACAAATTGAAGTTACCTAATGCAATATAACTCAAAAATCTAATGATTTTTTTAATAAACAAAACGATATGAAGGGATATATATTACTTGACTCTATTATTGTTTAATTTGTTTAGTAACCAAAAAAAAATAAACATAAAATAAGTTAATTAGTTCAGTATTCAGTGCACCCAACGGTTTCAATCTTTAAAGAGTCAAAAAGGAGCAAAATTACTAAAAAATTAACAAATGATGAGATGTGATTCTGTGTTCTTTTCCCAACCCATTCCTTGTTTAATAAAAAGACTAAAATTAAGGAAATGACAACCTGACAATTAACAAAATTCAAACTTAGTATACGTAATAACACTTTTTAATTAAACTTAATAATAAAAAATAATGACAACTAATAGTACGTACGTGGCAGCTAAATAATCACGTCACGTGTTGTTAGAAAAGCACACGTGGCTTGGTTTTGTGGAGTTAATCATAATTATTTAATTGCTAACTACTCGTTTTTCATGCACTAAACTCCAAAAGCAAAAAAAAATAATAATAATTAAAAATTAAGTTTGAGGTTTGTACGCTACTTTTCTTACGTAAGATTTGTATAGTGTTTATTGTCGAGAAAATACTATTGTTTATTTTTTGGACAAACGTCAAGTGTTGCAGAATTAAATAGTACTAGTACCACTTCTCCTTTGCGTATTCCTATTTTTCATATACGTAAATATTTAAATTATTTTATGTGAAATAAATGAGTATAAAATAGGAATATATATATATTAGCAATAAGAAATAATCATTATAGTGTAAAATTTAATTTATCATAATAGATAAGTCAGAGATAATTGGCGCGTGAACAAAATGGTCTAAGGCAACTAAACCAACAAGTATGAGCACTATACAAAAATCAAGTTACATCAATAATATTTAGCGAACAACTAATTAACGATAATAATTAATTATTATTAAATATATAATTTTTAATGATAATTAATATTTTTTATAAATGTTTCTAAAATTTTTAGTAATATCGAATTTAATAACACTTAACTAATTTCGACAAAAACTTTAACATACTTCATTAATAAATGTATTTATTACACTGAAAATTATTTTTATCGTAATAGAGACCAATATCTCATAATTTACATTCGAGCTCTGGATATAAAAAAATCCTTAATGAAGACATTTTTAGCATTAACTAAGTCTTGCATGGCGCAAATTTAGTCTGTCGAGCTTCAATCCAGATATAAAAATCAAATAAAAAACCAAAAGAAAAGTATATATAAAGAAGTAAAAGAATTCAGGTAAATCATTTGCAAAAGAATTAATTTATTTTTCTAAAATAAAGTTGCATTTGCGAACATAAAATTCTCAAGAAACTAGAGATGGAAATTTCCCAATTCGTCATATATTTTGGAGTTAATATTTGAGTTCTAAGATTGTGTTTGAGTATGTATTTTATCTAAAAATTATTTATGATAAATGTTTATGAATAGTTAGATTTGCTATACATACGAATCAATATCTGAATATTTGTAAACAACTTAATTTATTTATAAATATTGAAAATCAATGCATAGATAGTATTTCATATTGAAATGAGCATCAGATACGATATATCGTTAAAGAGTAGTAAATTTCTCGTTACCTATCAACGAAGATTGTAGAGTCGTAGAATACTGATAAATATCCTGTCATCCTTAAATATAAAAATTTCAAATTTGAATTTTCTTTGATGCGAATTCACTTTAATGAATAAGTGCTTTTGCCTGATAAAAAATTTCCTAATACAAATTTAAATTTAATTAAACTTTAAAATAAAATTACATCGAATATAAAATGAAATAAAAAATAAAAATATCTCCAGTAACGTGTTTTACAATTTTAACCAGGTCTTGGAAAATTGGGGTTCCTCTGCTTTTCCAACTGTAACTTTGACAAATAAGGTTGCTTCAGTAAATGCATCAGACAGCTGCAGTAAATTCCATTTCTATGATTATATTCAATTTTTTCTTAATCAATAATTATCTTCACCTAATTTACTCATAATTAATCATCTCCTAACAACTAAGCTAATCAATGTAATTAACCACAACACAAGTCAAAGGCGGAGTAGAATTTTATTTAAGGAGTGTCAAAATATTAAAAAATAAAATCATGTAGAAGTCAAAGAGTGTCAATACGTAATATATATACATAAAAAATAATTTTTATTCTAGCTACACAATATAATTTTCCAACGAAGAGGTGTCGATCAAATCAACTCAAAAATATAACTATCTCCATTAACTTTTGTTAATTGTCATGATTTTTCATTTTTTAGAGTTAAATTATAAAAAAAAGTTAATTAAATATATATTTTTATTATATTAATATGTAAAAAGATGTAATTTATAGTATTTTTCATATAATTTTTAAATATTTAAATTTTTTATTTAAAATATTAAATTATTATAATCTAATTTAAAAATTAAAATTGATCTAATTAATCTCTAAAAAACACATCACGATAAATAAAAATAAACCGAATAACTATTATCTTAAATAAACATTACACCTAACTCTAACTATTTGCTCATTTATTATGTCCTGCTAGTGATTTACTGCTGGCTTAGTGATTAGTCAAAATAACTAGTACTAGTAGGTCTTCTGTATCTATTTTAATGTAAGTATTGATAAATCAGTAGATGGGACAACCTTGTAATTAAATTACTCCCCTACTCACTCAACTATGGAATCCAAATTAATTAAATTAAATACACTAGTCCTTTACAATGAAATAACTTTGAATTATGATCAGTTAATTATGTTTAATTACTCTAAATCATAATTTGGTTAAACAATTGAGTGCTCAAGTATGATTATCCAAAAAAGAGAAGAGGACAAGAGTATTGGCATAAGCACTTAACTGATGATCAGTATTCAGTGGTATTTATTACATTACAAAAGTCTAATACAAAGCAAGTGGGGTGGTGGGGTCACCTGCAGGTTAACCACAGATTAGATTAGGAACCAAGGTCAAAAAAAATACACACACTGGTTAACAAGCACAACCACAAATTAAAATCAAGATTTTTATGTACAAAATTTTGCACCATTAGCCCCTCAACTGTTGATAAATTTTTAATTCCACTTCTACATTACTAATTGTTGAACCATTAATAAATTTTACAAGTGTATGTTTTAAATAAATGCACCAATATTTTATATTTGAAAGAAATGTAATTAAAAATAAAAACATATTTGTTGTCTACTTGTTTAGAAGGAAAATAGTACTACTCCGTCCGTTTAAAAAAGAATGATCTAATTTGACTTGGAACAGAATTTAAGAAAAGATTTTTTTTAATCTTGTGATTCTAAGTTAAAGTTACATCAAATATACTCAAATATTTTTAAATTTTGTGGTCTTAGACATGTCACGTATAAAGTTAAAGTCAAAGTGTTGCTAAAAAAGAACATAAACAATAAAAAAGAATTATTATTTTTGAAACGGAGAAAGTATATGTTTTAATTTTTTTTAAGGTTAGCAAAAATAAAAATTACCTATTAGCTTGTGATTTAAAAATATATATTTTTTAATACTTATCATAAGGACTAAAGTTATAGTAGGTAACAAGTTGAGGGATGAAAAGCACAAATATAACCATTTTATTATCTAAGGTCATCACTATTCATATCTTCATTATCATCATCTTCATCAACCCAAAACCATAACCATAAACAAAAACCTAAAAAACATCCTTCATTTCTTTTTCATCCTTTTGTCTTCTCACTTACTAAAGTCCCCCTTTCATTTTTTTTTCTTCCTTCTTATTAACCTTTTTTTCCTATGAATAAAGATAATTCTTTTTATTTTTTTTTGGTATGAAATCATCTTGACCTTAAATTTAATCATCTACTAACTCTTTTAACTCAAAAACAAAAAAAAAGAAGATAAAAAAGAGTGTTAGATGTTTCAGCCATGGAGTTAACCAACAACAACAACACAACTATTAGTACTATTACTACTACTACTACAGTGAAAACCCCAGAAGCTGAAATTGAAACCCCAACTCAGATCCAGAAACTGAAACCTTTTCCTTTTAGTAATGGTGTTCTGAAAAGGAAAAGTTCATTTAACCATAACAATCATCATCACCCTGTTGTGGTTATTTACAGAGAGTGTTTGAAAAACCATGCTGCTAGTTTAGGGGGTCATGCTGTTGATGGGTGTGGAGAATTTTTGCCGTCTCCTGCAGCGAACCCATCTGACCCAACTTCACTGAAATGTGCTGCTTGTGGGTGTCACCGTAATTTTCACCGACGTGAACCGGAAGAACCAGTTGTGATTCCACCGCCACCTATTGCAACTGCGGTGCTTGAGTATCAACCTCATCATCGTCATCATCCACCTCATCCTCCACCACCTCTGCAGGGGGAACATAGTAGTCCGAATTCACCATCTCCACCGCCGATTTCGTCGGCTTATTACCCAGCTTCTGCACCACACATGCTTTTAGCACTCAGTGCTGGGTTTTCTGGGGAGAAAAATCAGAACCCGACATCAGCTCCGTTGGGTCATTCTAACGGGAGGAAGCGTTTCAGAACGAAATTCACTCCAGATCAGAAGGTGAAAATGCAGGAATTTGCTGAGAGAGTTGGGTGGAAAATGCAGAAGAGAGATGAAGATCTGGTGAGCAATTTCTGTAACGAAATTGGAGTTGAAAAAGGGGTTTTAAAGGTATGGATGCACAATAACAAAAACACTTTCGGGAAGAAATCAGATCAACCCAACTCCGGCTCCGGCGACGGCGACAACGACAACGACGACAACCACCACCAGAATGGTAATACTAACAGCGATAATGGTTTTTGTATTGTTAGTCGAAATAACAATCATAACAATTCTGATTCAGAATTTCATCATCATCTTCAGCTACATCAGCATGAAAGTAACAACAACAATGACAACAAAAAAGGCATAATCCACCATCTTCACACAAGTGATAGTGTTGTTGCAACGAATGGGTCGTCTTCTTCATCTTGATCTAATTATATATGCACAAATAAAGTTTTAACTAGAATTAGTGCAAGAAAGAGAAAAATTCCGAGGCTGGTTACTATTAATCACGTTTATTTTTATTTTTTTTTCTTCCAATTAGAACTGTTTTTTTTTTTTTATGCTTTGTTGTTAAGGATTAGTGCTCAGCTTGATGAGGATTACACTGGAAAATCAAGATTGTTCCAATGAGCAATTTAATTTGTTAATTTTTCTTTCTTTTGCTTACCGCTGGCCTTGTATATTAATTATGCTACTTAATTACTATAATCTCATTCCATTAAGAAACTTAGCTATTGAGCATTGATTCCTTGTTCTTTTTTTTTTTACACTTTTTTTGTGCTGTTAAAAATAAAATTGCATGTCTGCAATTAATTAGGTACAGTGTATAAATTTCTGTAGCTATTTGTCAGAGAAATGACAGGGGTAGTAGGGGCGGGTGGGTAAGGACAGTGTTCTTGTCTGAGATGATGAAGCACAAAGTGATTTATCATAGTATTAGTTTAGGGAGATTAACAGATAATTAATATAATTGTCATAGTATCTTATTAATTATCATAGTATGGGCCTCCAAACGTAACGAGTTTTATTTTTAATAATAATAGGTTATAAATTATTATTTTTTATATAAATATTGAATATTATTCGTGGTACAGTGAACTTTACATGAAAATAAATAAATTATTAGAAGAAATTTAATATATTCGGAGTATAGATAATTTAAAATAAGAATAGTTATATTATCGATTGAAAACTAGAAGAAATCAATTGTATAAAAATTATTAACAATTCAAGTTTAAAGCCCCGTTTGATTTTTGCTTTTAGGTTACTAATATGTTTGAGTCGCTCTTGAGTATTTCTACATTCTCGTCTTTTAACGGGACAGTTGCTCGAGTGATAAGCATCTTAAGGTGGTGAGTTGAATTTCTAAAAGAGGGGTTAAAAAAAAGAACTATTACATTTTATAATAGTTATTCATTATCGACTTTGCATATTTTTTGAAAAATTATAAATAAAACGTAATTTCACTATACCATTCTATAAAAATAATAATATGATATCTTAAAAAATATAATTAAAAAGTGATGATTCATTACTTTTTCAAGTGAACAAGTATTATTAAATATTTTAAAACAGTGTATTGAATAACTTATATGTACCCAATAAAACAATGTAATTTGCAAATCAAATACTAAGTTCTAATGATCAACACTTTGATTTGATTGATATTTGACACCATTAATTGGAAATTTTGTGAAAGATATTTTTGAATAGTTTCATTTTATTAACTCAAAACTAATGTCAAGTAGATCTGGTTGTTTTAAGAAATTTTAATTCATTATTAAAGAGTAAAAATTGACTTATTATACTCCTATTTAGACCTTCTATTATGGGTTTAAGTGGAGTATATTAACAGAATATAATTTGTTATGTTATGTTTGAATTTTTCACTATATTGCAATTACTTTAAACAGTATGTTAATTATATTATAAGATCTACTAATATATACTAAAAATAGTGCACAATATCTTTTTTTCTTCTTTTGTTTCTTTAGTTAAAGATTTCGTCGTATCGTAACCACTAGATGACTTAATTGTTAATTTAACTAATGGGTACTACTTATAGTAATATTTGTTTGTTGATATAGTACCTATGAAAAGATTTAATAAAGAAAATGTACGAGAATGATATCGAATTTAGCTTTTTAATCATTTTGGGATTATGTGTAAAGTATATAATTTGGTGGGCTTGATACGGACAAAACTCTATCCACTTAATAAATCTTAATTAAAGAAATATTAAGCTATCATCAAACTTCCTTAAAAATTCCTTTCCGGTCCTATATATTATTTTATTAATTTTTTTTAAATCTCAAATATAATATCAATTTATTATTAAATTGAGATATAATTAACTAACTAATAATATATGAGCAACTTTATCGTATAGATACACAAAATTCATGTTTGTATGCTATATCAAAGTATGTATAATTGCGCTCCATAACAAATATGAATATGTAAAATTCACTATACATATATAAAGAGACTAATTGTACAATTCGGTATACATATACAAAAGAAAGAAGTTGTATACAAATCAATTGTATAATTTGTCTATGTATAAAACTAGAAAAAGAGAAAGACAAAAGAAAATTGGGCAGGGAAATATTTGTGTTGTATAATTATGAGTGTATAAGACATAGATATATGCATTTGCATGTTTATATATAATTATCTTTCACTTAATACAAATAGAAACACAATTTACAATTTTGTTTCTGTTTGTATAAGCGATAGAGGCAAGGGTGGCGAGAGAGATTCGGAAGAGGGGAGAGAGAGGAACGAAAATATATGTGTATATACAATTTTTTTCTCGCTTTATACAAACACAAACATATTTTTATACATTTGTGTTTGTATAAAAGTGAGAGGGAGGGAGCGAGAGAGGAAAAATGGCGAGTGAGAGTTTTTGAGAGAGAGGTGACTAACAAACAGTTTGCTATAAGACACAATTAAATTAAAATATAATTAAATATTAATTTAATTTATTAATTTGTCATTATATATAATTTTTCTTAATATATTTGATGGAATTCAAAATTCAATTGAACAAGAAATTACAGATAATCTTCCTTAATTCATCCAATATTTGATGGACATAATTCATAAGTTCACTGTATATGTGTAGTTGTGTACTAATCTCAAATTGTCCAATTTATCTGAATACTTTTTTATTATTGAAACTAACCATTTTTTAGAATAAAATAATAACTTTTATCTTTTTTTGTTTAATTAAATCAGATAATGTATAACAACATAAATATCTATCATTTATGTCTGAATAGAAATAAGAGGAAATTTTACAAATATCCAAATAAAATAAATTTAATTACGTTTCACAGTTATAATTTGTTATTTACGATTCTTGGCTACATATTAAAGAAATGAGAGATGTGAGCAAGATTGAGAGAGAGTTTGGAGACAAACAAGTGACGAAAGACAAAGAATGTAGAGATGAGAATTCTATATGTATATTTGTTGGATATATTATATTTATGTAACTGGTGCACATATATATTTATATATTTGACAAGCTAGATTAGAAGATGGAGGATAAAGGTGAGCGAGAAAGGGCAAAGGAGGAGCGAGATTAATTATATTTGTATAATTATCATATAATTATATTATATACGTATACATACAATTCGTGTTTGATATTATGTATTTTGACTTTTACCGTACAAAATAAAAAAAGTAAAATTGGTATTTTTAACACATCCTGATTCAAAAAAATAAATATTAAATTCAAGTAGGTAAAACAGTAGCAAAAAAAAAGAAGTTAATGTTAGAAAATAATTATTGAAAAAAAGACACTGTTGAGTGTTGAGCCATATATAAATACATTTACATAACTTCCCTTTAAAGGAATGGAGTGTAGAATAACAATAAACTCGATATACGTTATTTATATTAGTGTTCAATTATTTTAAAAAATTTATCGATATTGAAAGTTTAAATTAAAAATGAAAACGACTCTCATTCGACTATATTCTTTAATAATTATAACAATTTGAAGTTTAGTCAAATAAGAATTATTATGAGGTGAGTCCATCACCTATTACTGTAGCACAAGGTGGGTGTTCTCATTTAGGTACTGTGACTATTAATTCAAAAAAAAGTCAGTAATCTTGTTTTCCTCGAAATGTGAATCTAACCATATGGGACATTTGGACCTTATAAATATCTTTTTTTTTCCCTTTCGATTATTTATATTAAAAATTGATTAAATTTAAATTATTAGGTTAAATAAGACTTTTTTTTTCCATTTTTAAATGGTCAAATCCAACTTTTAGTTATCAACTATTCAATAATAATTCATGTTGTTCTTTTTTTTTTATAAATGTTTGCTGGAGGAGATGGTTGGGTATTAGCTGTCCTCTTTGGATTACACATAATTCACTTCTTTCTTTTATTCTAATCATGATTTTTATTATCGTTCAAAATATCTAAATTACATACACAATCATGGTTTTTATTATCCCCCAATATCTATCTATCTATATGTATATACGAGAAATTGGGTTCCAAATGATTTTATTAAATATATTTATTTAAACAACTTTTTTCCCCATAATCCTGTTTAATCTAATGATTACAATTTTTCTTAAATATGTGACTAAAATTAAAATTAATGTGCTCTTTGTCCTTGTTAAATTAAAAAGATTAAAAGTATAATGAAGGGATTGTTTTAGATATACCTGTCAATACAAGGGACTATTTTTGTAATTATTTCTTAAAATGATCATGAGGTCTAAAGTAATAATACTAGCACTCTCTCTGCCTAAACACCACATGTAAGTTTGGCTCTTAAAGGATTTTTTTGGAGGAGAAAATATAGTACTCGTCCGTTTCGAAAAGGTAATCTGGTTTGACTTGATATGACGTTTAAAAAAAATAAAATTAAAACTTATGGTTTTAAATTAAAATTATATCAAATTTATAAAATTATCTTTTGATCATTGATCTTAAATATGCCACGTGAAAAGCTGAAATTAAAATGTTATCAAAAGGAAAAAAATTATTTTTTAAAAACATAATAAAAAAAAATGAGGTTATTTTTTTAACGAGGAGGATAGTAATTTTGCATAAAATCTAATTTTATATTTTAAAAATCATATATAAAAAATATGATGTTACAAAGTCGGAAACAGAGTATCTTCTTGGTCTAGTAGCAGAACATACGGGGTTTTGAATCTCCTAGGACACTCAATATTAATTAACGTCTATCGAAATTATTAATTTAACACTAGAACATAGTTTAAGAATAATAATTATTTTCAAATGGAAGAAAACAATCCATAGAGGATTAATTAACCCTTATTTCTTTTTTTTTTTTAAAGAAAATTAATTATTTACTAATTGGGTGTGTAGTGATTGATGTCTAAAGGAGAGAAGGATTTGAGTGGAAAAGATCATAATTATTATTAGAAGATGAGTTGTCTTAGTCGATGTTAACACACATAATTGAGGCCACCTCATAACAAAACATGTACAGGAAAAATTATACATTTGTCATTTTTCTATCTTATCTTAAAAAAAATAACCACTATTAACAATCTTTAAATTTTATAAACATTTATCATGATAGCAATATGATGAAAATTTTAAATTAATGAGAATAGCCAGTTTCCAATTACATTTGTTAGAAAAATAGGAAAATGCGCAAGTACCCTCTTAATTTATTTTTGAAATTTCAGAGATATATTTGTGCTTTACTAAAATCGTATTACCTCCTTGAATTTA